ATTTGGGCACCATCTTCCACTCCTGCGATGGCTGCGACTGGTTTTATTTAAACTTTCTTTGTACCATTGAACCTTTTGGAACTGGATTGAATCAGTTCTCCTGCAGACATGGAAGGCATCAGTTAATGGTAATTTATATTCCTGTGAAAGTTATACATCTGGAAGGAAGGATTCCTTATCTTCTTCCTTCAAGATCATAGAGTACTGCTTGCCACCATCTTGTTTTTCTCTTCACCTTAATTTATGATGTCAACTGGCATGGCTGCTTGTTTTTAAAGCTTACCTAAGAAACTTACAAAAATATTTCTATTATAGTGAAACAGCATGTAATACATTTGATTACATCAAACACTACTACAAACATTTTAAGATTAGATATGGCAACATATGGACCAAGGACTGGATTCAGGCTGCAGAGCCACAGGGCTTTCTTTGCCTGTGCCTGTGCCTGAGTCTGCACTGGGGCTAGGCAGCAAGGAGCTGTGCTGTGACCAGGTAGCTGGATGATGTGCCTGCTGTTTCTCCCTGCCTCCCCTTCTACTTCTCTAAGGCTAGGGACAGACATTCAAAAAGCCCAAGCCTGAAGTGATTCAATATTTGCAGGTTAGTCCAATCTGCAGAGATTGAACTGATTTGCAAGTGGATAGACATTCACTTTTCATTCCAGAAATGCAGGCATATGGCTGCAGTGGCTCAGACCAGAAGCCTGGAGGTGCTAAATCATGCTCTCCCTTTCCTGCCACAGGGAAGCTGAGCTGAGGAGGAAGGCGGGGAGTCGCCAGGCCCAAACAGGCCTGAATATAACTGAGGAGGGGTTTAAACTCTCACCTTGGCCTGCAGGGCACAGAGGGTGGGGGAAGAGGAAGTGTGACCAGTTGGGGGCACGATCAGACCCCTGTGGTGAGGGAGGAGGAAGAGGAGGATAGCCCTGCCTGCCACAGTGACTCCCTCACAGCACTCCGGAGGGGGGCTCTTTCCCTGCCTCCTCCTCCCCTGCTGCCACCACCATGGAATGTGGAGGGGGGCTCTGTACAGTGCTGCCAGGCCCCAGAGGGGGATTCTTTCCTCTCCTCCCCCCACCACAGTGTAGGTAGGGGGGCTCTGTGTGGGCTGGGGGAGGAACTCCTCCTTCTCCTCCTCTTCTTGCTACTGCAGGCTGGGGAAGGGGGCTCTGTGTTGTGCTTCCCGGCCCAGCCCAGCCTAGATACAGGGAGCAGCTGTCACTAAGCCACAGCTGCTGGGGAGGGACTTGCCCCTGTGGCCCAGGCTGGCCCCACTCAGCCCCAGCTGAGACAGCTGCATGGCAAGGCTGGCCTGGGCTGGGATGCAAGGGCAGAGGAAGGGCCCTTCCCAGGGGCTGCAGCTCAGTGACAGGGAAGCTGAGCCCTGTAAGTGAGAGCAGCCTGGCCTGGCATGCTGAGCGGGCACCTGGCTGGGCAGCAGGCTACTTGGGCCACCCTGGAGGTACCGGTGGGTCTGGATCCTGGCAGCCACTCACTGCAAGGGCTTGCTGAGGACACATGAGCCTCTGTTGCACCTCTGAGCTAGCCTGGGTAGCCCTTCACCCAGCCAGCCATTACCCATGCATGCCAGGCCAGGCTGCTCTCACTGACAGGGCTCAGCTTCCTTGTCACTGAGCTGTAGCCACTGGGCCGGGCCCTGCCCCCACAGCCCAGGGTGGCTCTGTCATGTGGTTGTCTTGGTCGGGGCTGAGCAGGGTCTGCCCAGGTTGGGAGGTGGGGTGGGGCCCTCCACAGTGGCTGCGGCTTATCGATAGGAGCTCCCTGTGCCCAAGTTGTGATGGGCTGGGTAGCACTGCACAGATCCCCCACCCCCACCCTGCAGCAGTGGGGGCAGGAATGAGGAGAAGGAAGAGTCTCTCTCCAGCATAGCATACCACCCCCCTCCCTGCTCTGCGTGAGCTGCCACCTCTGCCTTGTCTGATCATTTGCAGACAGGCAGACCTTCTGCAGTGGAGGGGAGGGAGAGGAGGGAATTAATCCTCTCTCTGCCCACTTTGCCTAACAGGGCCATGCTGTGATGCATTTAGTCACACCCCTGCCCCTGCTCATGCTAGACAGCAGAGGGGAGGGGCCAGCCCTGCTCTCTGGAGAAGAGAGCACAGCCCATCCCAGGGCTTCAGAGCCTGC